ACATTATGTCTAGTTTATCACCAGGATTGCCTTGTTGTGATAACAGGGAGCCTGGCTTTCCCTGCTGGGGGAGCATCAGTTGAACTGGCAGACTTTCCTCCCTTTGTACTAAGCTGACATTTTAACCCTAGATCTCTAGAGAAATGGCAGCATTTATTAGAAACCAGATATTCAGATATTTTTATGCCCCACACAAAAAATCTTTGCCCCAATTTACTAAATTACTCTAAGTTTCTATATGAATAACATGTTTGTTATTATATAACATACATAGGTTATATCATAGACATATAACACGTTCATATATTATATAATATATATAACATAGCCATATGATAACATGTATGTTAAGCCATCTAGTGTAGGGGTCTCAAACTGTTAGCCCACAGGCCATGTTCTGCCTGCAGGAAGTTAGATTTGGCCTGCACAGTGCTTTCAAAAAGAAAAAAATGAGCCAACATCTAGAAATCAAGAGATAATACCTTTTTGAAAATGGAGATATCAGAAATGTTTGTTTGTTTTAAACCAGAAGATCTCAGAAGACTTCCCAGGAATGAACTGAACTCCAGAATTGCTATTGCCTGTATGTTTAGGGGATGGCAGGGGGAAGGGGAGGAAAAGTCTCCAGGAACCAAGGCCCCAGCATGCCCTGTGACTCTCATCCTGAGGCTGAGCAGCTTAGGCATTTACCATGGCACTGGAGCTGTAGATTTTTATGATTTTCCATTAAAATAACTGTTTTCAGTTTTTCTGGGTGACAAACTCCAAACAAGGCCAGTCTGCTACTTAAATGAGTGAAGCACGTCTGATATAAAAAAGGGAATATGATCTTTTCCACTTTTCCCCATGTCTCTGTCATAGATAATGGAAAATCTGCAAGGACCTGTTCATACCCAGGGCCAGGCGTGAGCACCACTGCAAGGAGGTGACTGTGTATCACTGTAAGGCCTGCCACCGGTCCCCACCTGTCCCCACCTGTCCCCACCGGTCCCCACCTGTCCCCACCAGTCCCCACCTGTCCCCACCTGTCCCCACCTGTGCTTCTGCTGGTGTTTCTGCCTCCACCTGGAGGATCTTGGCCATGTGTAGAGAGGTGATGGTTCAGGTTCTAGACCAGCATTTTTCATGGACCACAGAGAGTCATGAAATCAATTGAATGGATCTTAATCAGCTTTTTTTTTTTTTTTTTAAATGAACAGAAAAATATCAAAATTCATCAGGCTTAGTAAGGGTGTTAAGGTATTGTGAATTTCTTGTTTTACATACACACATGTGTACTGGGTAGCTGTATCAAAGAACGCTCCTGTAAGTCATGGAAAAAGCTTGAATAATCCTGCTATAGAGCAACAGTTCCAGATCTTCCATGAGCCCATGACACCTTGGCGTCTGTGAAAGTCATGAATTTGAGAATCTCCTTCAGGCTTTCTAAGTATCTTATTGGGTTTTATGACTAGATATGTCATCAAAATGCCCACAAAAAGTCATAAAATGAGGTGGATACTTTTAAATTTCTTTAAAAAATTCATTATTAGTTGCAAGAAGGTAAGGAATATCTCCAGATGTTAAACAGCAGGTAAAAACAGGAATCTAGAGAGGTGAAGGGATGATAAGGACAAGCTGCCTCTGTGTCTGCAATCCCAGCTCTCCTGACTCTTCTGTTAGCCACTCAGGCCTCAAGCCAACCAAACCAAGGGTCTGACAGAAGATGCCCACCTAAAGCCAAGAGTTCAATGGCTAAAAGCTCAGTGAAAGGATAAATGAAGGAGGCCATAGAGGGAAGACAGCAAAGAAACTTCCTAAACCTTTGCACTGAGTGAATTGAAAAAATATCCCTGAGACTCTGAAACCACAAAGTCGCCTTCCTTCGGATTTACAGGACAAATTCATATTTTCATTGAGAATTAATTTTAGAATAAACTCAGGCTAATGGAGGGCCCAAACACCTTGCAGAAAAAATCACTAATCCTCTCTGGGAATGAACTTTCACCTGGACCTTCCTTCTCAAACACGCATGGAATATTTACACAAATTAATGTAGTCTCAGCTATAGATGAAAGTCAGCAAGTATCAGAGAGCTGGCATTACACAAATTATATTCTCTGACTACCAAGCAATTAAATGAGAAATTAATAACAGAATTAAAATATCCTGGAGATCAGGAGAGAGATGGTGAATAGGAGACAGGGCTAACATGTACCTCCCACTTAGATGGACAGAACAGTGTGCGGAGACTCACACTGTAAACTTTTGCTCCAAGAACCGTGGCAGGAATGTACCAGGAAAACTGAAAGAATTCATAAATCCTTTGAAAGAAGAGGTACACCACTGCAAATTCTGTAAGACAAGCAAAATACTGTGAGTTCCCAAAGTGTGAAAGGGAAAAAACCTGCCTCCAAATACACATCCCCACTGGTGAATCTGAAAATCTAGATCCTTGGAGAAGGATTTAACCTTACCTAGAGCTGAAACAGATTTAGGGAGCCACACAAAATATAAAAGTAGAAGCAGCAGTGGGAAAAGCCTAAAGGCACTTTCAGTCTCCAGCTCAAACCAGGGAAGTCATCTCTGACTATATCTCACAGTGGACTTTGGGGAAGGCAGCCAGCAGAACTAGGGAGGGGTCACAGGGTGCAAGTAGCTTCCAATGGAAATTTGTAATAATTTCAACAGGGCACAAATTTTCTTGAACAGAATCTGGGGGGCAAATTGGGGGGCAAAACTGCTGCAGATATGAGCAGAGGAGCCAACACCAACATTGTGGACAGACAGGGAAAATTGTGCTTGCTTTCTCAGTGGGAAAGCTTACAGCCTGGGGCAAGTTCTGAGTAGGGCATTAGAGGAATAAGACCAGACTCACTGACTGCATGACAGCTGGGTGAGACCTTTCACCACAGGCTATCCCCTACTTCCTTGGCAAAGTATATGACACAGAAGAGGCAGCCATAATCCCCTCTGCAACACAACGCCGTTGACCTGAGAACCACCCCCAATCCCACACAGCAGCCAAGGCAATCCCCACCCAAGGACAGTCTAAGCCCAGACCCATGTAATCCTGCCCCCACCTAATATTTTTTCTCTACCCACCCTGGTAGCTGAACACAAAATATAGAAACTCTTGGGAACTTTATGGCCCCATCCATCACCTGAGAAACCAGAATACTTACCCTGGCCAACTTAGGGCAAGCTTACCTCTCTCTACTACTACCACAGCTGGTGCTGTCTTGAAAGTGCCACTGCCTGGCTGGAGGCAAACCAGCTCAGGACATTCTATCAACACATGACATAATAACCCTACTCACAGGAAGGAGAAAACAACAGCTAAGTCCACCACCTGCAACATTCTGGCTAACTAGAGGTCCTGAGTCTGTCCATGTGACAATGTCACTACTAGCATAACCAGTATTTAAGAAAACCAGCACACTAAACATATCTACAACCAAGGACTCTCACAGAGTCTAATTCACTCCCTTGACACATCCACCAGAGTAGGTGCTGGTGTCCATGGCTGAGACATATGAAGATGGACCACATCACAGGTTGCAGACATCCCCCAGCACCAGCCTGGAGTGTGGTAGCACCGCTGGCTGGCTAGACTCAGAAGAACAATAACAATTACTGCAGTCTGGCTGTTAGGAAGTCCCTTCCCTAATGGAAAGGGGAGAGTGCCACATCAAGGAATCATCCCATAGCACAAAAGAATCTGAACAGCAGGCCTTGGATTCCATACCTTTCCAATGAAATAGTCAATCCAAATGAGAAAGAACCAGAAAACTAATTCTGGTAATATGACAAAATGGGGTTTTATAACACCCACAAAAGATCACACTAGCTCCCTGGCAATGGATCTAAACCCAAAAGAAATCTCTGAATTGCCAGATAAGGAATCCAGAAGGTTGATTATCAAGTTACTCAAGGAGGCAGCACAGAAAACCAACTTAAAGAAATTTTAAAAACAGCACAGGATATGGATAAAAATTCTCCAGAGAAATAGATATCATAAATAAAAAATAAACCTTCTGGAAATGAAAGACACACTCAGACAAATACAAAATGCACTGGAAAGTTTCAATAGATTACAATAAGTAGAAGAAAGAAATTCAGAGTTCGAAGACAAGGTTTTCAAATTAACCCAATCAGACAAAGACAGAGAAAAAAGCATTAAAAAACAATGAATAATGTCTCCAAGAAATTTGGAATTGTGTTAAATGGCCAAACTTATAATAATTGGTGTTCTGAAGAAGAAGAGAAATCTAAAAGTTTGGAAGACTTAGTTGAGGAAATAATCAAGGAAAACTTCCCTGGTCTTGCTAGAGATCTAGACATCTAAATACAGAAAACTCAAAGAACACTCTGGGAAATTCATCAGAAAAAAATGATCACCTAGGCACATAGTCATCAGGTTATCTAAAGTCAAGACAAAGGAAAGAATCTTAAGGGCTATGAGACAAAAGCACTGGGCAATCTATAAAGGAAAACCTATCAATCAGATTACCAGCAGATTTCTCAGCTGAAGCCTTACAAGCTGGAAAGGATCAAGGTCATATCTTTAGCCTATAGAAACAAAATAACTGTCAGTCAAGAATTTTGTATCCAGCAAAACTAGGCTTCATAAATGAAGGAAAGATAAAGTATTTTTCAGACAAACAAATGCTGAGATAATTCACTACCACCAAGCCAGCATTACAAGAAATGCTAAAAGGAGTTCTTGAAACAAAACCTCAAAATACAACAAAATAGGACCTCCTTAAAGCATAAATCTCATAGGGCTCATAAAAGAATAACACAGTGGGAAAAAACAGTATTTGGGCAACAACTAGCATGATGAATAGAACAGTACCTCACATCTCAACAGTAATGTTGAATGTAAATGGCCTAAATGCTCCACTTAAAAGATACTGAATGGCAGAATGAATAAAAATCCACCAACCAAGTATCTGCTGCCTTTAAGAGACTCACCTAACACATAAGGACTTACATAAAGGTAAAGGGGTGGAAAAAGATATTCCATGCAAATGGAAACCATAAACGAGCAGGAGTGGCACATTTTATATCAGATAAAACAGACTTTAAAGCAACAACATAATACTAGTGGGGGACTTCAATACTCCACTGACAGCACCAGTCAGGTCATCAAGACAGAAGATCAACAAAGAAACAGTGGACTTAATCTATACCCTAGAATAAATGGACTTAACAGTTCTGCCTGTTTCCGGACAAGCGAGGAGATTCATGGTCTGGTTCTTGGACTTTCCTTGCAGGATGGCCCCCAAACGCCAGTCTCCACTCCTGCCTCAAAAGAAGAAACCAAGACCACCTCCTGCTCGGAGACTGGAGGAGACAACGGCCTCTGCAGGCTTGCCGAAGAAGGGAGAAAAAGAACAGCAAGAAGCAATTGAACACATTGATGAAGTACAAAATGAAATGGACAGACTTAATGAACAAGCCGTTGAGGAGATTTTGAAAGTAGAACAGAAATATAACAAACTCTGCCAACCATTTTTTTTGGAAGAGGTCAGAATTGATCGCCAAATCCCACATTTTGGGGTAACAATATTTGTCAACCATTCAGAAGTGTCTGTACTGCTTGGGGAGGAGGACGAAGAGGTACTGCATTATTTGACCAGAGTTGAAGTGACAGATTTTGAAGATATTAAATCAGGTAACAGAATAGATTTTTATTTTGATGAAAATCCTTACTTTGAAAATAAAGTTCTCTCCAAAGTATTTCATCTGAATGAGAGTGGTGATCCATCTTCAAAGTCCACTGAAATCAAATGGAAATACGGAAAGGATTTGATGAAACATTCAAGTCAAACACAGAATAAAGCCAGCAGAAAGAGGCAGCGTGAGGAACCGGAGAGCTTCTTTACCTGGTTTACTGACCATTCTGATGCAGGTACTGATGAGTTAGGAGAGCTCATCAAAGATGATATTTGGCCAAACCCATTACAGACTACTTGGTTCCTGATATGGATAATGAAGAAAGAGAAGATGATGATGAGGAGGAGGAGGAGGAAGGATTAGAAGATATTGATGAAGAAGGGGATAAGGATGAAGGTGAAGAAGATGAAGATGAAGGGGAGGAAGGAGAGGAGGATGAAGGAGAAAATGACTAACAGAACACTGATGGATTCCAACCTTTCTTTTTTAAAAATTTTCTCCAGTCCCTGGGAGCAAGTTGCTGTCTTTTTTTTTTCCCCTCGTGCTCATTCACCCTGTTCTTGAGGTGTCTGTTCTCTAAACCACGGCTTTCAACTCATTTTGGGAGAAACAACTCGAGCATAATACAATGGGAAAAGAGTCTCTACCCCTTTCTGTTCGAAATGCTTTGTTATCCCTTCCTATCTGACCAAAACTGGATGGAATCGACACCACCAAGCTCTGTGGGAAAAAAAGAAAAACCTGCTCCCTTCGTGCTACTGGAAGCTGCAGAGTGCTAGGCCCTGTGTATTAGTGCATAGAATTCTAGCTTTTTTTTCTCCTTTCTCTGTATATTGGGCTCAAGAGAGTACACTGTGTCTCTATGTGAATATGGACAGTAGGCATTTACCAACATGTATCTACTTTCTCTTGTTTAAAAAAAAGAAAAAAAAACTTCAAAAAATGGCATTATAGAAGGTCAGCAAAGGATAGGTTTGAGATGTTTGGGTGGTTAAGTGGGCATTTTGACAACATGGCTTCTCCTTTGGCATGTTTAATTGTGATACCTGACAGACATCCTTGCAGTTTAAGATGACACTTTTAAAAGAAATTCTCTCCTAATGATGACTTGAGCCCTCCCACTCAATGGGAGAATCAGCAGAACCTGTAGGATCTTATTTGGAATTGACATTCTCTATTGTAATTTTGTTCCTGTTCATTTTGAAATTTTCTTTTTATTTCACTGGAAAGGAAAGATGATACTCAGTTTTAAATGTTAAAAGTGTACAAGTTGCTTTGTTACAATAAAACTAAATGTGTACACAAAGGATTTGATGCTTTCCTCTCAGCATAGGTATACTCACTATGACCTTCCAAGTTTGACTTGTATAACATCACTGTCACCCTAACTTCATATTTTTTTGGTACGCACTTTGCAGGATGACCTCAGGGCTATGTGGATTGAGTAACAGGATTTGAATCAATGTATTAATATTTCCATAGCTGGAAAACATGGGTACAATTTGCCATTGGTTTTTGAAAGTATTCACATCGTTGGGAATATCAGATTGCTCAATACTTTCTAAGTATATTGTGCCCTTGATTTTTATCTCCAAGTGGCAGTTTTTAAAATTGGCCTTTTACCAGAATATAAAATAATAGTGCCTGCCACTGAGAGGTGACAACGTGCTAGCAGCCCTCGCTCTCTGCGCCTCCTCGGCCTTGGCGTCCACTCTGGTGGCGCTTGAGCAGCCCTTCAGCCTGTCACGACACTGTGGGAGCCCCTCTCTGGGCTGGCTGAGGCTGGAGCTGGCTCCTCCTGCTTGTGGGGAGGTGTGGAGGGAGAGGCACTGGCGGCAACCGGGGCTATGCATGCAGCGCTCATGGGCCAGCCCAAGTTCTGGGTGGGTGTGGTTCGGTGGGCCCTGCACTCGGAGTGGCTGGCTGGCGCCTGCTGCCCAGAGCAGTGAGGGGCTTAGCACCAGGGTGGGCCAGCAGCCGCAGAGGGTGTGCCGGGTCCCCCAGCAGTGCTGGCCTACCAGGGCTGCACTCGAATTCTCGCGGGGCCTCAGCTGCCTCCCCGTGGGGCAGGGCTCGGGACCTGCAGCCTGCTATGCGGAAGCCTCCCCCTGCTCCCCAGTCATGGGGTCCTGTGTGGCCTGAGCCTCCCCGCTAGAATCCCTACGAGCGCCTCCCCCACGAGCACTTTCCCCAGGAGCGCCTCCCCCATGAGCACCTCCCCTGTGAGCCCCGCGCAGCCCCTGCACCTTGGTCCCATTGACGGCCCAAGGGCTGAGGAGTGCAGACGCCTGGTGTGGGACTGGTGGGCAGCTCCACCTGCAGCCCTGGTGCGGGATCCACTAGCTGAAGCCAGCTGGGCTCCTGGGTCTAGTGGGGACTTGAGAACCTTTATGTCTAGCTAAGGGATTGAAAAAACACCAATTAGCAACCTGTGTCTAGCTCAAGGTTTGTAAATACACTAATCAGTACTCTGTATCTAGCTAATCTAGTGGGGACTTGGAGAACTTTTCTGTCTAGCACCGTGCCTAGCTAAAGGATTGTAAACACACCATTCAGCACTCTGTGTCTAGCTCAGGGATTGTAAACACACCAATCAGCACTCTGTGTCTAGCTCAGGGATTGCAAATGCACCAATCAGCACTCTGTCAAAACGGACCAATCAGCTCTCGTTGTAAAATGGACCAATCAGCAGGATATGGGTGGGGCCAGATAAGGGAATAAAAGCAGGCTGCCTGAGCCTGCCAGCAGCAAACCCTCGGGTCCCCTTCCACGCTATGGAAGCTTTATTCTTTGGCCCTTTACAATAAATCCTCATGCTGCTCACTCTTTGGGTCCACGCTGCCCACTCTTTGGGTCCACGCTGCCTTTATGAGCTATAACACTCACTGTGAAGGTCTGCAGCATCACTCCTGAAGCCAGCGAGACCATGAACCCACTGGGAAGAATGAACAACTCCAGACATGCTGCCTTTAAGAGCTGTAACACTCACTGTGAAGGTCTGCAGCTTCACTCCTGTCAGCAAGACCACGAACTCACCAGAAGGAAGAAGTTCCAGACACATCTGAACATCTGAAGGAACAAACTCTGGACATACCATCTTTAAGAACTGTAACACTCACCGCGAGGGTCTGCGGCTTCATTCTTGAAGTCAGCAAGACCAAGAACCCACCAATTCCGGGCACACCACCACTATCCAACAGACCTGGTGCTCTAATGCCAAGTTATACATGAGACAGCTGCTGGCGTGTCTTCACTGGCTATAGAAAATGTGGCCAAGAAGATAGGCTCTCCGAGTAAGAAGTCTGTGATGGCTAGCAGCAACTGTCCCTGCTCTCTGGTATAAAGCTCTCAAGTGTGACTATATGAATCTGGGTAAGATAATGGACCCAGCTCTGTTTGCTCAGTGCCATTGTGCAGAGAGGCACCCTAATGCATAAGCTTTTTAATGCTGTAAAATATAGTAGCTGAAATTAAGTGCCACTTTTTCAGAGGTAAATTAATGGACAGTCTGATGAAATTCAAAAGCTTTTTGATGTATAAAACTTGATAAATGGAACATTCCATCAATAGGCAAAAGTGTAATAACCTATCTAGATGGATAGCATGTAATTTCTGCACAGGCCTATGTTTAATAAATACATCACTGTATACCAATCAGGAATCTTGCTCCTGATCGGTATATAAAAGAACACAAAGATTAAAAAAATGTACTTTACAGATATTTGCAGAACATTTTATCCAATAACTAAAGAATACACATTCTTTTCATCAGCACATGGAACATTCTCCAAGATAGACCATATGATAGATCACAGACAAGTCTCAATAAATTTAAGAAAATCAAAATTATATCAAGTATCCTCCCAGACCACAGTAGAATAAAGCTGGAGATTAACTCCAAAAGGAACCCAGAACACTATATAAATACATGGAAATGAAATAATCTGCTCTTGAATGATCTTCGAGTCAACATTGAAATCAAGATGGAAATTTAAAAATTATTTGAACTGAACAATGTAACACGACTTATCGAAACCTATGGGTTACGGCAAAAGTGGTGCCAAGAGGAAATTTCATAGCATTAAATCCCTACATTTACATGTCTGAAAGAACAAAAATAGACAATCTAAGATTGCATCTCAAGGAACTAGAGAAGCAAGAACAAACCAAGCCCAAACCTAGCAGAAGAAAAGAAATAATCAAGATTAGAGCAGAACTGAATGAAATTGAAACAAAAAATACAAAAGATAAATGAAACAACAGGCTGGTTCTTTGAAAAGATAAACAAAATTGATAGACCATTAGCAAGATTAACCAAGAAGAGAGAAGATCCAAATAAGCTCAATTAGAAATGAAACATGAGATATTACAACCAATACCACAGAAACACAAAAGATCATTGAAAGCTACTATGAAAACCTTTATGTGCACAAACTAGAAAATCTAGAGGAGATGGACAAAATCTGGAAATATACAACCCTCCTAGATTAAACCAGGAAGAAATAGAAACATTGAACAAACCAATAACAAGCAGTGAGATTGAAACAGTAATTTAAAAATTGCCGAGATAAAAAAAGTCCACAGCCAGATGGATTCACAGCTGAATTATATCAGACATTCAAAGAAGAACTGGTACCAATCCTACTTAAACTATTCCAAAAGATAAGGAGGGAACCCTCCCTAAATCATTCCATGCAATCAGTATCACTCTAATACCAAAACCAGGAATGAACATAAAAAACAGAAAACTACAGACCAATATCCATGATGAACATAGATGCAAAAATCCTCAACAAAATACTAGCTAACTGAATCCAACAGCATTTCAAAAAGATAATACATCATGATCAAGATAATACATCATGATAAATTGATGATATATCAGTTCATGCCAGGGATGCAGGGATGGTTTAACATATGCAAGTCAATAAATGTGATACATCACATAAACAGAATTAAAAACAATGATCATATGATCATCTCAATAGATGCAGAAAAGTAATTTGACAAAACCCAGCATCCCTTTATGATTAAATCCCTCAGCAAAATTGGTATAGAAGGGAAATACCTCAAGGTAATGAACGCCATCTATGACAAACCCACAGCCAATATTATACTGAATTGGGGAAAAGTTAAAAGCATTCCGTCTGAGAACTGGAACGAGACAAGGATGCTCACTTTCACCACTTCTATTCAACATAGTGCTGGAAGTCCTAGGCAGAGCAATCATATAAGAGAAAGACATAAATCAGTAAAGAGGAAATCAAACTCTTGCTGTTCACCAATGATATGATTGTATACCTAGAAAACCCTAAAGACTCATCCACAAAGCCCCTACATTTGATAAATGAATTCAGTAAAGTTTCAGGATACAAAATCAATGCATTACATACAAATCAGTAGCACTGCTATACACCAACAATGACCCAGCTGATAATTGAGTCAATGGCTAAATCCCTTTTACAACAGTTGCAAAAAAAAATGAAACACTTAGGAATATACTTAACCAAGGAGGTGAAAGATCTCTACAAGGAAAACTACAGAACACTGCTGAAAGAAATCATAAATGACACAAACAAATGGGAACACATACCATACTCATGGATGGGTAGAATCAATATTGTGAAAATAACCATGCTGCCAAAGGCAATCTACAGATTCAATGCAATTCCCATCAAAATACCATCCCCATTCTTCACAGAACTAGAAAAAAAAAAAAACTCTAAAATTTATATGGAACAAAAAAATAGCCTGTATAGACAAAGCAAGACTAAGCCAAAAGAACAAATCTGAAGGCATCACATTACTCAACTTCAAACTACACTACAAAGTTATAGTTACCAAAACAGCATGGTACTGGCATGAAAATAAGCACATAGACTAATGGAACTGAATAGAGAACCCAGAAATAAAGCCAGATACTTCCAGCCAACTGCTCTTTGACAAAGCAAACAAAAACATAAAGTGGGAAAAGGACACCCTATTCAACAAATGGTGCTGCGGTAATTGGCAAGCCACATGTAGCAGAATGAAACTGGATCCTCATTTCTCATCTTACAAAAATCAACTCAAGCTGGATGAAAGACTTAAATCTAAGACCTGAAACCATAAAAATTCTAGAAGATAACATCAGAAAAACACTTCTAGATGTTGGCTTAAGCAAAGAGTTCATGACCAAGAACCCAAAAGCAAATGCAACAAAAAACAAAAATAAGTAGATGGGAC